ACAAAAAAAAATCTCAATCGATTTTACTTTTGATAAAAAAAAATTTTCAACAAGTTTCAATTTTAAAGAATGCATTTAATATATATATATATATATATATATATATATATATATATATATATAGAGAGAGAGAGAGAGAAAAAGAGATAATCAACATTGAATGAAAGTGTAACAATATCTATGTGTTAAATAAGAAATTAATTACCAATAAGATACTCATGAGTTAACTTTTTCATATAGAGAATGCATCGATATTCCTTACATTCACAAAGTATATACATGAGATTCTTATTTGAATTGGATTATCCGAATGAAATTATTACACCATACAACACTAAATGCAGTTCACTAACTATCAATATATACATTTTTATTTGCGACAAGAGCCCAATATTAAAAACTAATCATTTTTAATGCAATTATTTCACCAAATAATATTAAATGCAGTTTGCAAAGCTTCTACAACGACCCTTTCTAGTGATGTAGCATATCTTTGGTCGATATAACGAATTTAAGTGGTTGAAGTTTTTATTTATTTATTTATTTTTTTGGAAAGGGAACTTCCCTAATGAGGGTTTTCGGGTTAACTTTCGCGCACCGACTATTCCTCCGTTGCAAACATAAAGCTTTGCCTCATGCCCTGGAGTCACTGCAAGCGAACCTCCATGGCCACGAGGACTGAGTGATGCCGAGATTTGAACAGTGGTGGTACAGGTGATGAACGATGATGGTAAAGGACCAACCACAAAATAAATTGAAATCATAATGACCATTTTTGTAAATTATAATAACTAGTGAATAGAGGATCTGTTAAAAACTAACAAAAGTGGCTTAATAAATATGTAAGTTGTAAGTTTAATAACCTATTGAGCAAAAAAAATATTTTAGTGACCAAATCAGGTAAATGACGATGGCTAATTGGGTTGTAGTGACATTTATCCTACGCAAAATGATATTGTCACATGTCTTATTGTCATTACATTTGACACCATTTTTCTAAGTTTTTTTGATTTTTTTCCACTTGTTTTTTTCTTATATTTTTCATTTTTTTAAAATTTAAAATTCACTTTTTAGTAAGGATTTATATATGGTAGATGTATTAATTTTATTAATATAGAGAATAAATGTTCTAGCAAATATTTCCTTACTAAGCATTTATATATGGTAGGTACTTAATAGATTTTCAAGGGATTACCATTAAACATTTTTTAAATCAGGTATTTCAATAAATGTTTTTTTTTTTTTCAATATGAATTTATATTTACCTATATATACATATATTTTCCTATATCTTCTTAAATATATTTAAGAAAATACTAAATATTTTATCTATCTATAATATATTTTATACGTTATATAACAATTAAATAGTATATATATTTTATATTTTATACATATAATACATATAGAAACAATGAATAAAATGTGAATTTATATTTTACTAAACTCAAGTCATATAAAATGTGTAATGGTTAACAATATTTTTATATAGCTACACATATGAAACTTATAATGTCTCCATTTTAATAATTGAATTTTTAAAATTTGATAACATTTTTTCATCATAATTTTATTTTCGGATTTATTATCGTTTGAAGGTAAAAACATAATACAGATTCAAATGACCTTTAAGAGAAGCACAAACATATAAAATTATATTTAGGTAAAAGAAAATTCAATATTATTTCTATAATGTTAATAATTTTTATATTAGTATACAATCGACTATCTACTTATTATCGTTTCATTTGTATTTATTTTGCATTTTTTTTGAAACGATAAAGTAACTAATCTACTCCTAAATAATATTATGTCTCCACCGAGATTTGAACCCTGACCTCTCATATGAGATGATCACTCCATACTAGCATACTGCTAGGCCATTGGCTCTATTACATCTTCTTTTTCAACATTATTATTTCTAAATATATCAAATTATTATTATTATTATATATTGAATTACTTACTTTATTCAACATTATATATTTTTATTTATGAAAAATATTATTTAAAAAGTACGCAATGTTTACAACTTTATATTAAACTTTTATTTTTTAATAAACCATATACTAAACTGGTCTTACACTTAATAAATTATAATATTTGAATATTTGGATGATTAAGGAGTTAAAATCACATACAATTAATCAGATTGCTCATCTGATTGTTTTAATATTTTTTAATAAGATTGAAGCTAGTTTACATCTTGTTTTTATCTCAATTCTCTTATGTTTTCCCATCTCTATTTGTTTTAATTTTGTATGATAAAATGAAATCACAATTAATATTTTATAATTCGTTTAAATGCAAATCTAAAAATCATTTGATATCTTTTGGTTCGTTGAAATCGACTACCTCTCTTCAGGGACTTTTTGGTAAACAAAAGGTGTCGTTGCGTGTGTGCCACCTGCCACTGATACCTACATATAGATACAGGAGGAACGAAGAGGCGCCATACAATTTGCATTTCTGGAAAAAGCTCATAAAGTGCTGAGATAAACCCTAATCTCAGTTCCAATGGCATCTCTAATGTTGCCATCTCCATCGTCATGCTCTACTTCTTCTTCGTCTTCGCCGTTTTCTCGGCGCTCTTTCAACCGTGGTTTCATTAACAGCGAGGCTCGTATTCCCGCTTCTGCTAACAACATCGTAAGTTGCTTGTTTATATATTTGCTTTAAGTCCTGTATTCTATGAATATGAATAAATGGTTGAGATATCGCAATATAGGAATGTTTTTGCTTCTGTCAATTATAATGTTGTGCGTTTCGTAGTGTAATTGATTTTGTATTTTTGTTATTGCGTTGCTCATTTTTTATCTATTAGGTTGGATACGTTTGAATTTGCTAAATGATTAGCGGAACTCACAGTTTTTTGGAACAATTTTTATCTTTCGCTCAACATTTAACCGATTCTCATATCAGATAACATCATTTTGAATTCCCGAGGCAATCTGGATGTTAAATCCAATTCGTTTTGTCCATCTAACATCTATCAGTCCTTTTTGACTTCTTGTTTTGCTTGATTTCACCAATTTTGGAAGTAACAGTTGTCTTTGAATATACATATTAAAGAGTCTACATACATACTGTTAAGTTACTTAAACGTAATGTAAGTTGCTATGCTTGTCTAGTTGTCTTATTGAGATAATATAATGAGTTTAAAGTTAATAACTCAATATGTTTTTACTTAGAGACTGAAATTCGGTATACCTATGCCATTGATTATTCATGGTGGTATCATGGAGGTTATGGGCTTAAATCCCCCTTCTCCCTGCCTACTATTAAACAGAAATTGGTATAAATACTGGTGTGGGCATGTAGCAATTAGATTTTAGCAGAAACATACATCTGAAGGGCCAAATGCACTCTTTAGGACATGGCTTGTAATGCTGCATACTATATTTGAAGTTGTTTGTTGATTTGTTCTATTCCAATCTTAGGAGATTAAGCATATGCTACCTTTCAACTTTAAAGGTGATGTGGATTGTAAAGATTTCATGGAAAATAGTAACTAAAACAAGGGTTGACAACATATGCTAGGAAATATTTATAAAATGTTAGGTTAACAAGTTTATATCAGAGAACCAGCTGGTTTTACTTCTAAGATAAAAGTTCAGTTGCTAAGTTTCCAGTTTAAAAAGTTGAAAGATTGATTGAGGTTAGTTGTTTTTTTAGAGGTGTGAAATCAGTAAATCATTAAATGGGAAACCATGTGTTCCAATTATCAAAGATGGAATGCTGTCCAACTTCATGGAAGCTGGACGCATGAATCATGCTGTTATGAATGGGAAGCTTAAAATATTCTCTGGCACTGCAAATTCTGCACTTTCTCAGGTATAATTCATTTTAAAAACATATGATAACTTCTTCAACCTCATACCATGGCAACTCAAAATGTTGCTTGTAACATTAGTCATTAGGTATTCCTTATCTATAAATCATGTCCAAAATAAATTTCAGGAAATTGCAAGTTACATGGGGCTTGATCTTGGAATGATTCAGATAAAGCGATTTGCAGATGGTGAAATATATGTTCAGTTACAAGAGAGTGTACGCGGGTGTGATGTGTATCTGGTGCAACCCACCAGCCCTCCTGCAAATGAAAATCTCATGGAGCTTTTAGTTACAATAGATGCATGCAGAAGAGCATCAGCCAAAAACATCACAGCAGTCATCCCTTATTTTGGATACGCCAGAGCTGATAGAAAAGTAAACCTAAATTTCATTTAGAGTTACTAAATTAACCTTTTAAAAAATTAAATTTTCTCATATTTCATCAGACTCAAGGGCGTGAATCTATTGCTGCAAAACTAGTAGCAAACCTGATTACTGAAGCAGGTGCAGATCGTGTTCTTGCTTGTGATCTTCATTCTGGTCAGTCCATGGGTTATTTTGATATCCCCGTGGATCATGTTTACTGTCAGGTAACTATTTCAGTTTTAATTTTAATTTTTTTCATTTTTTTTTCTGATAGTTTATCTGTGATTATGTTGTAGCCTGTGATTCTTGATTATCTTGCCAGCAAGTCGATTTGCTCAAATGATTTGGTAGTTGTGTCGCCTGATGTTGGTGGAGTTGCCAGGGCACGTGCTTTTGCTAAAAAGTTATCCGATGCGCCTTTGGCAATTGTTGACAAAAGGCGCCATGGACACAATGTAGCTGAGGTACCTTTCGTTTGTCTTTCTATTTCCTTTGTGGCATTGTAAGTCGCAGAGTGACCTTGCTGTTATGTTTGATTAAGCCATGTGTCCCTCAGATTCGTTTACAATAAAAAATGTAACACGTTTTTAGGTGATGAATTTAATCGGTGATGTCAAAGGAAAAGTTGCTGTGATGTTGGATGACATGATCGACACTGCTGGTGAGTCATTCAAGATGTGAACCGCTTGTACTGTATCAAAATTAACAACTTTTTTTTTTTTTTTTTTTGGTCTGTGTGTGTTACTTTCAGGAACTATTTCTAAAGGTGCGGCTCTATTACATGAAGAGGGAGCCAGGGAAGTCTATGCATGTTGCACTCATGGTGTATTCAGGTAAACTGACTGTGACTTTGACTGTGACTGTGACTGTGTGTACAACACTAACAAATTTATCCATTTAAAACTTTTTTTTTATAGTCCACCTGCGATTGAGAGGTTGTCAAGTGGACTTTTTCAAGAAGTGATTGTAACAAACACGATTCCTTTAAAGGAACAGCATTATTTCCCACAGCTGACTGTTCTTTCAGTGGCAAATCTTTTGGGTGAGACTATTTGGCGTGTTCATGATGATACCTCTGTAAGTAGCATCTTCACATGAGCTTTCACAACTTTTGCTTCAAACTACTCTTTCACAATCGTATTCTTTATATACTACCAATTACTTAGTATATCATTTCTTAATCTTTTGCATATGAAAAACAAACATACACAGTCATAATTGTAGCTGGAGTTTATTTTCTTTTAAGTCCATAGTTGTGAAGATAGTCTTGTGCACATTTGATTTTATATTTGACTCGTATTAGTTGAAATTGCCACTTTTAGTGTTCATGATTCGTAATGCAGTATGTTGTATTGTTGTGTATTTACCTAGATATCCCTAAAGGATAGTTTAGTTTGGAAAATGATATGGATACTTGTATTTTTCTGATGGAAAGATTTGTCTTGTTGAATTATATGGGAGGAGAGAGTTTAGATATCATGGATACTTTTATAACACCAACTTTGGTGTTATGGTATCTATTTACATCAAAATGGTACAAGAGATGGATTGTGGTTGGAGACAAATTTACACCAAAATGAGATTTGGAGTGAGATTAGAGATATTTTTAACAAACATCAAAGGTGTTTGGCAAGTGTCGAAATGTATACATTGTAGAGATGCACAAAATCAGTTTTAAATGAATATTTGGTCCGATTAATGTGTCCACTTACAACGTATTGCACTTAATATTATGTCACTACGAGAAACAACATTCTAGATCTAGGTACTAGCTTGGATTAGTAAATCAATATTCGTTGTGGCTAAGACTTTGTATTCCTTTTTTGCCATCATTTTAAAATATCAAAGCTTGAAAACTATTAGCTAGTTACATTACAAACTTAATTGGTTGCTTTATATAAGTTGTAGGTTCGTCCAAATATATTTGAATTATTGTACTTTTTGATTTTATTTTTCTATAAAGTTGATTTGGAAGAAAAACTCGTTTAATTGTTAAAAATAATGTTCAAAATTTGATATATTTCCTTTATTTTAATTTTCTTTTGACCCAAAAAGTTTACTTATAAGGATGCAGGTGATTAATTATAAACTAAAACTATTTAAAAAATCATATTATAATTCTAAATCAATAATAAATAAACTAAAGTATTAATTGTATAAAAATCTTATATATTTTGAACTTTGTATGAATATTTTTTTATTATTAATTTTTTTTTCCAAAACGACTAAGACAAGCATCTACTATCCTACTTCTAAATCTATACCTTTTGTCTCCAAACTTTAACCCTTAATTTTTGTATTTGCTGAGAGACATATTTTCGTGAACTCTTGATACTGGTAGTGGTAGATTATAAGCCCTTTAGTAACAAAAAATTCTTTCGTTATTTTAATTTTTATTTAATTTGAATTTTTATCAGGTATTTTTTGTATTATTTTGGTTTTAAATATGTTTTTGAAAAACACTTTCCACCTTTTTTTTGTTTTTTTGAAAAAACTATCACATTGAAAATATTTTTCTATATCAACTTTTCCATTTTTGCTCCAAATTTCTATGTTTATTTTTGTTATTAATATATATTGTGTTATCGAGGGTCTTCAACATTAAAACTGAAGTAAACATTGATTTCTAATAAAAAAGAAAAAGATGTTGTATGCATATCAAAATATATTTGAATGATGAATATAGTAATAGTGAAAAACATTGATCTATGATGGTTTGACATCTAATTACATAAATCAATCAGAAAAATCAAAACTTCAATCTATTTTGGAATATAATTTATTTTTTGTTTATTATTTTCATATATATTTTCATTCTCAAATGTGAGTTGATACATAATAATTTCATTCAATTATAGTGAAACCCATTTTCCATATTAATAGTCATATCAATAATAACAAACTCGATAAATTTTCAAGCATTGCATTATTATTCATTTTTTTAATTCGGTGTGGGACTTCATTTAATCATTTACCAAAGGCAAAACCTTCAATCTTGAAATTATGAACATGTAACATGTTATGTGCATTCTAATTTGGAGACCGGAGGTTTTGGTATTTTGTAACACCCATAAAAATCAAGTCAATTTAAAACTTTTTCAAACATCCAAAAGCCATTAATTATTACAAAATATTTTCAAAATAATTTAATATCAGAGTATCCAAAAAACCATAAATCTAAAACACGAGGATGTGTACGGTCACGCCTTCGCCTTGCCGAGTCATCTGAAGCACCTGAAACAATAAAGTGAAACCTTAAACACAAAGCTTAGTGAGTTCTCTCAAAATATCCATACACAACAATATACATATAATCATAAACAACATATTATGGGTTCAGTCAACCATCGGGTTAGAATACCCCAGGCCCACATCCAACAGGTTGAAATGCAAACATACTATGAGTCCAATCATCATCGGGATGGAATACCCCAGCCCACAACCAACAGGTTGGAATGCCCACATACTATGAGTTCAGTCATCCTCAGAATGGAATACTCACGACCTACAACCAATAGGTTGGAATTCCCAGGTCTATTGGTTTTCGCACAAACACAGATAAACCTCAACCGCCAAACAATCATGTGCACACATATAACAGATAATCACATAATAGTCTATAGACAACAACTGATCTAACCGATCATATCACATAACACATAATACCATCCTATCTACTAGGATATCGATCTAACAGATCATATCACATACCACATAATATTATCATGCTATCTAGGATACCGACCTAACAGATCATACTAGCATAACATAACCATATAACAATCCAAAGGTCCGACCTTGGTGCCTTAGACCCTTGAGTATAGTGAAGATAACTCACTTGGCACTGCTGAAGTCCCGCAGATAAAACTCCAGTTGTTGGTTGACAGATTCCCAAACTATCAACATCAAACAATACCCAATTAATAATTGGGTTCAAAGCCTAAGGTCCAACTTACACTTCAAAGACCCAAAAGTCAAGTAATGGGCCAAAGACCAACATATGGCCCAATTTTCCAAATTGGGCCCAAACCTTTATAGGGTCTTACCACAAGGCCCAACCATTTAGTCCAGTCTAACATTTAACATTCTAATAGCCCAATATCACATAATCATAAAGGCCCAAACTATGGCCCATCTATGGCTCAATTTTCAAAATTAGGCCCAACTCCTCATATGGGCCTTACCTTAAAGCCCATTGATTATTCTAGTCTATTTGCTTGATCTTGGATGGCCCATTAATAACCCAATCAACAAGTCCCAAGAGAAAGGCCCAACAATAAACCTAAGTGAAATTAGGGTTTCACATAAAATTACAATTAGGGTTAAGTGTTTCTCACTTAACCCATTAAGGACTTAATCCATTAAGTCCACCACTCTTCTAAATAAATCATATGTTGTGATTGGGTTTAATACACAATTCCATTCCAGTTGCCCAAATGTGGGTCCCGATAAGTCCAAACCCATAAATCCAATATTAGGGTTTTCTAAACCTTAATTAGGGTTTCCAACCCCATCTTAGTCTAATAGGCCCAATAGCTAGGTCTTTTGATCACTTAGGGTTCATTAGGTCCATTTGTCACTTGTTTGGGCTTTTAGGTCAATTAGGGGTTCATTAGACCCATTAGAGTTTCATTGGGCCTACTAGGGTTTATTAGGCTAATTAGGGTTTTAGTCCCTTGTACAAACATCCCAAACAAGTCACAACACGAACGAGACACACAGCTACCCGACACGGCGGCCGGTGGCGGCAGCCACCACCCTACGGTGGTGGTTTTTAGTTTTCTTTTTCATTATTCCACTTTCTAATACATTTTACAAAGCTTTAATCAAGAAAATAACACATACACTAATAAATGACATACACACACACAACCACCTTATGGTGGCCGGTGGTGGTAGATGGTGGCAGCCACTACCTCACGGTGGTGGTGGTGGCTTTTCCGGCCAAATAAACACCCAACACCGCTTCATTATAACAAACACACGCACACACAAGTCTTCTGCTTGAAGAAGGAGTCCGACCACTGTGATATCCCTATTTTCACAGCCATAAAAGACCGATATTGTTTATGCTTTATAAAAATCAGAATACCTCTTTTAATAAAAATGTTGAGGAATTTGTTCCCAGTAAAACATGATAAATACGTTATCAAAATATTTCCGAAAAAAAAAATATTTTTATTCATTTTAAAACATTTGTGTCACAACTAGCATTTTAGCTAGGAAATTCTATTCTTGTGTAACCATTTAGCTATTGCAAAACATCTACTCTAAGTGAATCTCACTCAAAGCTCATTTAAATTCACATTTCATGTTCATCAAAGAATCTGAAAAACCCTAAGAATCCAGGTTTAAGTCCATATTGGACTAGGAGGTCCTTATTGGGCCTAATGGACCAATAAGCACCCAATTCAAACTTTATTGGACTTAGAAGCCCTAATTAGATCCTAATTGGACCCAATTCATAAATCTAAAACATTTCGGACCAATTCGGTCTATAATGATTCATTCTAACCCTAATAGGCCTTACTGGGCCATAACTAATTCAATTACCATCAGTGAGCCATAAGCCCATACTTTTATTTTATTTGGATCGTGAATGCTTCCAAGGGCCTAATGGGCTGAAAAACCTTATGTTTAGGATCCAAAGATCCTAACTAAAGTCAATGGGCCCAAATCACTCCACCCTTTTCTCTTAGCCCAAGTTATCGAACCAACAACATCACTTAACAATAAAAAAAAACTTGCATGGGGAAGAGGTTGACACCTCATTTTTACATGTAGGACTTCCACACTAATTACCTCCATGTATCAACACACTCTCATACTTCCATGCAAAGGTCACTTCTCTCTCTTCCCTCCCTATTTCTTTATCTCGATCGAGACCACACACCTACAACACCATCTTTAAATTTACTTCAAACAACTCTCCAAGAATTTCTCCCTCTCCTTCATAATTTTGCAAGTTGTGGGTGTCTTCAAGAGAGTTTTTCTTCAAGATCATCATATTAGGTAAGATCTTTACAAACCTAAGTTGGATTCTCACATCTTTACTCTTGAGTCACTTCTCTTACCACCTTGTTTTCTTGAATCATACTCTTAAAACTTCATAGAATTCGAAAATCCCATCAAAGAAACAAGTCAGGCTAAAAACAACACCATCTTCTTCCTCTTCTTCTTCAAAACCGAAACATCAAAGCAAATGTAAGTTCATACCA